AAAAGAACTTTTACGGACCCTACTTACGGTTTAAAAGACCCCCGTAAAACCTTACCCAACGGTTTCGGGGTTTACCTTTAAAAGTTACCTTACGGGGTTAGACGGAACGTTCCCAACGTTTTTTACTACGTTACGTTCGGGAATTCCCGTAGCCCTAAACGGGACCACGCTACTAACTCCCTACATTCCTACCTAAATCTACTATCACAAACTTTGACCAAGCAGGATGGTATGTCCAGAATCCAGAGTAAAACCATAGATAAGACGTCCCTGCCGTTATGGCACGCAAACTTGACCTTCAGACATTGGCTTACACTTAGGGCTACCCAATTTCTACTGGAAAATTTTGAGAATGAATTAGACCAATTGCTTTTGCATCCACTACCATCTAGTGATAATAGCTACAATCTTGCAGTTTCTTAAAAAGCACACTAGACGAAATAGTTCCCTAACAATCCAAAGCTCTGGGAGGCACATCACACAACCAAGGTAGAGGGAGCAACATTCAGCATATTACTGAAGTTTAAAGGACTAATCAAGCAGCGTTGCAGAGTGGAACCTCTAAAGAGACTAAGGACTGACCGGAACTACTATCACTGCATCCCACACCTGCCAACCCCCTTCCCCTAGACCTAGAAGCTCTGAAGAGGCCATAGGAAAGCGCGGGCCTCGACTCTCGAGCATGATCATCCGCCGCATGGCGCACCCTCTAGAAATATACTAGATAATATAACTATATTCTTTATCTATTTGCAATCAGGTAATAAATATCACATAGCTACAGATGGCAGTAAGGAACTTGCATTAGACCATGCTAAATCCCTTGTACAAGAAGAATAACATTTTGACCAGTGTATCCAAAAGCTCCAAGAAACAACATCAGCACTAAAGATCAATCAATCATCTATTCCTCGATTACATATTAGTTATGGCTCGTATGCATCCTCTGTATCCATTCCGCTCTACTCAGATCAGTTTCCGAAGTGCAGAATTTAATCAGCTCTCAAGATAGTAGGATATATATGGTACTGCCGTTTCTCTTCTGGCTTAAGAAAATGTCACTACATAAAGCGATAAAACTTATAAAATTTCAAGTCCTTGTGCAGATTCATAAAACAACAACAACTACTATGCCCAGTCCCAAACAAGTTAGGTTGGCCGTATGAATCTTCACTCTCCATTTAAGCTCAACTCATATTATCATCATAGCAAATAGAAATAAAAGTGAAAAATAAGTTGAATATACATCATCCATTAAAACAGGGGCGGTTTTACAAGGTAAGGTAAGGGTTCGGTTGCAGAGGCGGATCCATGATTTAAGTTCTACGGGTTCAACTTTTAATGGTGTTAGCATTGAAACCATTATATTTTTAAAGTTATGAGTTCATATCAACTATTTTTACAATTTTAATGAATTTTTACATATAAATTTTTACTCTACGTCGAAACTTATGGGTTCAATTGAATCTGTTGGTAACACGCTATATCCGCCCCTGTTATCGGCCGAACATAGAATTAAAATATTGGATCCGCCTCTAATTATTAAAACAGCAGGATACATGCATGATGCAAGCAGTAATACATGTCTGTCTAAATGTAAGCAGATGATATATAGATAAATAGAGAAATGGGGGACCTTAGAAATGATGTGATCAGCCAACGCGAGATGAGCTCGACAGTGCTTGCATTTGTAGCTGTTTCCTTCAAGACTAATCAGAAAAAGCCTACCCATTTCTTCTACTTGCTATCTACCCCTTCAAATAAACGATCAAATTATACCCCTTCAAAACCGCAAAAATCACTGATTTATCACAAATTCAGAAACATCGATAATCAGAATAATAGAGTATTTATACATACAGATGAAAGAAAAAACGAAAAAGGAAGAAGAAAAAGATGAAACCAGAATCCAGAATCCAGATTATGATCTAACCTGAGCAGCAGTTGGAAAGAGAAAGAGTAGCAATCTTCACAGCAATTGAGAAATGTGTTTTCTTTTCACGTATTTATATGCACAAAGCGAAGATAGCGAGAAATCTGTATGGAAATTTTCAAAAATAAGAAATCCACAAAGAATTTAACTCGGGATTCGAAGGTGCCATATTTCATATTTTCCCCTTCATAATTTGCATGATAAATATTAGATCCATCCACCTTTTACATGGGTATTTGCATCTATAACCGCTTTGGGTCACGTTATAACTTGTGCCCCTTTGTAAAAAAAATTGCAAGCGAATCAGCAATGCCCCTACTCCGTACCCATTTTGATTAGTCGTGCCATTCCCCAACCTCTCCTGATGTTCTTGGTGAGCTAGCCTGTCATCCACCGCCCCAACTGTGATGGTCCCCTTCGGCTAGTTCTTTCACAAGTGATCCTGTTTACCCACTTTTTTCGCGTAACTTGAGCATACGGGGCTGAAGTAGCAAAGACAATCACGCAAAACTTCAGCATTCTAGTAGACGGGCCTAAAGTAGCAAGCGTGCTGAACCAAGTGTGCTGAAGTTTTTGTTTGTAATTGCTGAACTTAAGCATAGTAGCTAAAGTTTTGTTCTCTATTTGCTGAAGTTTTTATTTGTAATTGCACTAAATAAGCTGAAGTTTTTTTGTCATGGATTCACTAGTCTTGTCATTAAGCTTTTTCAAAAACTTCAGCAGAAGATGCTGAAGTTATTTAGTTCATTTATAAAAACTTCAGCACTAAATAAGCTGAAGTGTTTTTTTCTCCGGGATAAGCTTTTTCAAAAACATAAGTAGAAGATACTGAAGTTATTTAGTTCATTTGCTTTGTCCTGGATTCATTAGTTTTGTCATAAAGCTTTTTCAAAAACTTCAACATCTTAGTTCATTTGTAAAAACTTCAGCACTATATAAGCTGAAGTTTTTGAAAAAGCTTTCTAACATACTAGATAAATAATCAGATTGCCAACAGTATCTAAATCATAAATTTTGGAAACAATAAACGTAAAAAGAACAGAATTATCATTGTCTACTAACTTACGTACGTGGAAATATTCACAAATTATTGTCTACTAACTTACGTAATTATTTATAATTTATTTTTAAATAATCTGATAAACATATTTATGGCAATCATCCCATGAACTGAAGTTTCATAGCAGCAGAAGAAAGAAGAAGAAGAAGAAGAAGAAGAAGAAGAAGAAGAAGAAGACGAAGGAGGAGAAGGAGGAGGAGAAAGGGGGCTGAAGTTGTTTAAAAAGTGGGTACAAGTTAAAACTTTTTTAAAAAATGGGTATAGGATGGGGGCGACCAAATAGGGCGCCCCGTGCAATTTTTACCTTTTATATTTACGGGTATTATGGTTTGAACTGCAGTATTTCGATACCTAGATGGGTGTTTGGACATAAGAATTATGAAACTTCGGAAAAAATAAAAAAAAATTCAAGTGAAATGATATTTTAAAGTTAGAGTTGTGTTTGGACATAAATACAATTTGGAGCTATTTTTTAATATTTGTGAGTGATTTGAAGTGAAAATTTTGAAATATAGCTTTTTTGGTGTTTTTTAAATTTTCGAAAAATTCGAAATTCAACTTCAAGTAAAATTTAAATTTTTCATGGCCAATCGTAGATTCCGAAAAAAAAGTAAAAAATTTCCGAAAAAATTATGACAATACAGGCCCTAAGTCGTCTCAGATCATTTGGTACAAAACCAGGTTATTTTTAATATTATAATTCTAGAATAATCAGGATAGATAATTATACTGTTTTATGTTATAGTTAATCTAATAATTTTAATATAAATTTTATTAAAATTATGGGTTTTCAGAATATAGAGTTTAACTTTACTGCCATCTATGGCTTGCACATAGCGGGGGACAGAAGAAGTCTGTGGACAAAATTGAAGGAAGTGGGAAACCTGCAACAAGGACCATGGCGTCTGATGGGTGACTATAATGCAATTCTTTAAGCACATGATCGATTGAATGGTAATGAAGTGCAAGAACAAGAGACTAGAGATTTTAAGGAGTTCCTAGAAGACGAAATAAGGATAGTGGATAGAAAATATACTTGAACAACAATCATATCTACAGCAGGATTGATATAGCTATTGTAAATGTGTAATGGATGAGCACCATGCCTCTAGAAGTTGTATTGCTTGATCCTCTTTTTCCGATCAGTTTCCCCTTTGTATCACCTTTGTAGATCAAGGTAAGAGACGAAATAAAGGCCTTTTAAATTTTTTAAACCACTTAACTCTTCATAGTGATTTCCTTAATAGAATTGAGAGAGGATGGAGGAAACCATTGAATGGGGGCTACTTAAAAGATGTATGGCAGAAGTTAAAGAATGTGAAACATGAGATGAAGAACCTCAACAGAGATAAGTATGCTGCTACAGATAGAAGAATCAATACCATCAGAAGTAGCCTACAGAAAGTACAAGAGATAATGAGAAATCATGGTCATGAGCCTAATCTGTTTGATAGAGAGAAAACTCTAAAGACAAACATGGAAAAATGGGTGATGATAGGCGAGATGATTGCCAAACAGAAATCAAGAGTGAAATGGTTGAAGCTTGGGGATTCTAACAATGCTTATTCTTTTGCTTGCAGGAAGAACAAACGCTCAATCAATCAGATTAGGAGGCTGGTGAATACAAATGGAGGACTGATACAATCTGAAGAAGGTATAAAGAGGGAGATACTAAGCGCTTTACAAGCAGCTACTTGGGACTGTAGCATATCAATTGCCAGTTGTGCAGGAATTAGTTTTTTCACTGGGACCTAGACTCAGCAGAACATAACAGCTCCAGATGATCACTCTTGTCATAGAAGAGGAAATATATAGGGCAATGATGGACATTAATGAGACGAAGGCACCAGGGATAGATGGACTCAATGCTTGCTTTTTCAAAAAGCTTGGCCTATCACTGGAGGAAAGGTAAATGAAGCAATCTTGAATTTCTTTGATTCTGGGAGAATGTATAGGCCAATTAGTTGTACACTACTTACTCTAATTCCAAAAGTCAAGAACCCTTCTTCAGTTAAGCAATTTCGGCCGATCACATGTTGCTCTGTACTATATAAGATAATATCCAAGATACTCACAAAGAGAATGCAAACATTTGATGGATAGTTTGGTAGATGGGAGCCAATCAGCTTTTGTCCCGGGAAGATTAATATCTGATAATATCATACTCAGCTACGAGTTAGTAAAAGGATATGGCAGAAAAGGTATTCCCCAAGATGTATGTTGAAAGTAGACATGCAAAAAGCATATGATTCGGTAGAATGGGTATTCCAAGAGCAGGTTATGAATGGGCTAAACTTTCCTTATCATTTCACTCAATGGATCATGGTCTGCCTAAAAACTGTGTCATATTCTGTTCAAATTAATGGACAACCATCAGAGTCTTTTGGTGCAAAGAAAGGATTAGGACAGGGGGATCCATTATCCCCATTCCTATTTGTATTGGTGATGGAATACTGTAGTAGAATTTTGAAGAGACTAGAATATGAACCTGATTTCAATTACCACCCAAAATGTGAGAAAATGAAAATTATTCAACTGGGATTTGCAGATGATTTGCTTCTTTTCTCCAGAGAAGATGTAAAGTCTGTTCATATGCTATTTGAGTGCTTCTAGAAGTTTTTCTTAGCTTCAGGACTTATCGCCAATAGAGAAAAAAGTTATATATATTTTGGAGGGTTGGTTAAGCAGTGCATTGTTATTACGTTGTTGATATTATCTTTCTTGCTTCCACTGCTATTACTGCTCCACTGTCTTTTTTCATCTTCTTGAGTCGAGGGTCTATAAAAAATAGCCTCTCTATTCCTCCGGAGTAGGGGTAAGGTCTACGTACACACTACCCTCCCCAAACCCCACTTGTGAGATTCCACTAAGTTGTTATTGTTGGTCAGGCAGTGCAACAACAGATTATAGAAGTAACTGGTTTTGCAAAAGGCAAGTTACCAATTAGATATTTGGGGGTGCCTCTAAGCACTAAACGACTCTCAGTGATCCAGTGCCAACCACTCCTAGTATGAAGGATACAATATTGGACATCAAAATTATTATCCTATGCAGGGAGAGTTCAATTGATAAAAAAATGTGCTGTTTTCCATTCAAGTATTTTGGTCACAGATATTTGTGCTGCCTACAAAGATTGTCAAATTTATCGGAACAACTTGTAGAAAATTCTTGTGGTCAGGTGGACTGGAGGCATAAAAAAAAGCATTACTAGCATGGGATAGAGTTTGTTACCCACAAGTTGTTGAGGGCTAAATATTTTAGATATCGCTTGTTGGAATAAAGCTGTAATATGCAGGCTTTTATGGAGATTATGCACTAAAAATGATAGCGTGTGGGTAAAAGATTCACAGTTACTACATAAAGGAAGACATGTGTGGGATATAACACCAAGACAAGCATCATGGGTGGTTCAAACAATACTAAAGGTCGGAAGCTATGTTGAACAAATAGGAATGGGTGCAACTGAATTTGAGTCCTTGACAATCTTCTCTATTAAACAATTGTACATTAAATTGAGGGGAGAGTTTCCTAAGGTTTCTTGGAGAAAGCTAGTATGCAATAATCTAGGAGCTCCTAAATGGGTATTCATATTGAGGTTGGTCGCACATGGGAGAATACATACCAGAGACAGATTACTTCATTGCGGAATAGATGTAGCACAATCTTGCCCTCTCTGCAATAGTGGGATCGAGAGTATTTCACATTTATTTTTTCAATGTGACTTATCCAGAAGATGAAAGTTGCAGAAATGAGGATGTTGAGGTGGATGTGTGGGCACACTAGGCTGGATAAGATTAGGAATGAAGATATTCGGAAGAGGGTGGGCGTGGCTCCGGTGGACGACAAGATGCGGGAAGCGCGGCTTAGATGGTTTAGACACGTGCAGAGGAGAAGCCTAGATGCGCCGGTTAGGAGGTGTGAGCGGTTGGCTTTGGCAGGTACGAGAAGAGGTAGAGGGCGGCCTAAGAAGTATTGGGTCGAAGTGATCAGACAGGACATGGCGCGGCTCCGGATTTCCGAGGACATGGCTCTAGATAGGAAGGTGTGGAGGTCGAGCATTAGGGTTGTAGGTTAAGGAGTAGTCGAGCATTAGGGTTGTAGGTTAATGGTTGTAGGT